TTAATATAAAGTATTGAAGAGAGTTCATATAACACTTTTGTAAGACTGCGACAGGAAAATCATATGAACCACAAATTGTAGATTAGTTTATGAGAGAAATAAATTTAGCTGCAGAAGCTAAAGTGATTTGGATGTTTAACAATGGATAAACCTCTTACTTTGTGATAACAGGAAGAATGTGGTCAATAGATTCAAGAGATGAATTACAGGAAAAGATAGTTTAGCATTGTTCTTGAGATAGACAATAGCATCAGATCCATGTTTTAGAGATAGAATATTTTAGAGATAGAATGTTTTAGAGATAAAATGTTTTAGAGATAAAATATTTTAGAGATAGAATGTTTTAGAAACTTTGATAATAACACTTTTGAAGGTTTTTAAAAAGTTTCTTTTAAAAAGTTCAAAACTAATTTTAGAATTAAAATATGAGATATAATAAACTAAGAATAATCGAACTTTTGACAGCAAGTTTTTGTATAGTTTCTTGCAGTAATAAAAGATGATTAGAGGAATTATTACAATCAAAATGAAATTACTACAATAATTTAATCAAATTTAGTATTTATTCAAAGAGTTTATTTAAACTATGAAGAAGAAAGTAGTAAAAAAATTTTATGCTATGATAAGTTTTTTATTTAATATTTTTTAAATATTAAACATAAAAAACTTATTATAGCATAAAAATAGGTAAATTAGTCACGTTTTAATTTTTTAGAGGACTTGACTTAAATTAATGCATGGCACCTTAAGCAACAAGCAACATCTCAGTCCTGCTAACTATAACAAAGGACTACATATCAGGCCTCGACAATGAAAATCAAAAGCATTGTAAGTCTTAGACTATGAGGCCTTCTGTAACAGAATGTCAAAAAACAATTTTTTCATTATTGTATATTTATAGCATTATAAAAGATAACAATCAAGTTGTTGCATTTACCATATTGATTTTGAAAATAATCTTTTTAAAAAATTGAGCTTAAAATGAGATAAAAATGAAATTTAAAATTTATTTGTTTTATGCGTTGTAAAATTAATGAAAGAATCATTATATCATTGTTAATTGAATTATCATTATTTTGTAACACAGTAGAAAAGAGAAAATATTAAGGTTTTACCATGCAATGATAAACTTATATTAGTATTGCAGTTTTAAATCAGCTTTAATTTTTGAAACTTTTTGCAAAATACTTCTTCTCAACAACTAAAAAATAAAAAACACTAACAACTAAAATGCCACTACTGAATAACATACCAAATGCTAGAACTGTCTATTTATCAAGAGAAAAAAAGGAAAAATCAAGAATCTAATTCTAAAGAATAAAACCCACATTCACTATAAGCCATGCCTGTGGTATTTTTGTTCAACTGACACTTAAAAACATATGGCATGTGGAGCTGCTATTATTTAGTAGATTTATAGTTTATAGCTATTGAGTGCATCAAGATGCCTTGGTACTGAGTCACAATCAAATGAAAAGTTGGAAAGCAAAGCAGATGAGTGTGTAGCAAACAGAGATAAAGTTTGATTATGAGGTTCAATAGTAAAGATAGATTGAAACCTTGTTAAATGTTTGGCAATTAAAACTCTATCACTGCAGAGTTGACAAGACAAAGAATAAAATGTGCTAATATGCATGCTGTCAGTACATTTGCTGTTAACATTTGCAAAATAAAAACTATAATTTTTTCATTACTTTTAAATTTTGGATTTTTGGAATCATTGACTTGTCATCACTATTAAATTTTAAAAGTAATGAAAAAAATAAAATTTAAAAGTAATGAAAAAAATAAAGTTTTTCAATAAAAAATGCGGCGCTAATTCTTATTATTATTATTATCCTTATTGAGTTTTATCATGTGGTAACTAAAACTAAGCTGTTTGTATTTTTTAATTTACATATTTTTATATGAAGAATAAAGCTTGTTATGTTGGCTTAGAATTAATTATAGACTATTAAATTCACTACGCTACACTACTTGAACCAAAAGATTAGCTCACATTAAATATAATGTCATTTGGTTTACTTTAAAAACATTTTGTTACAAGATATACATTATACATAAATACATAAATGTATACATTATACATAAATACTTACTGCAATATGTATATATCCTTTAGAAACACTATTTAACTTCACTTTGCTGAAGCGACCAGATACTAAAATTTGTTTTAAAGTGAAACCATGTGAGAGAGAACAAACTTGTAAAGATTTGTTATAAAGAAAAGATGATCCAAACATTAATTGAATAATATCTAAAGAAAATTTTATTTTTAAAAAATGGCTATTCATCATCATCATTATCACTTTCATTATTATTATATTCATCATTATCATCTTTATTATTTCCATCTTCATCATCATCATAACATTATTATCATAATTATCATCATTATCAATCATCATCTTTTTTATCATCATCATTATCATGATCATCATTATCAACAATATCATGATCATCATCATCATCATCATCATCATCATCATAATCATCATTATCATTATCAACAATATCATGATCATCATCATCATCATCATCATCATCATCATCATCATTATCAACAATATCATGATCATCATCATCATCATCATCATCATCATCATCATCATCATCATCATCATAATCATCATTATCACTATCATCACCATCACCATCATCATCATAACAATCAACATGATTATAATTTATTATCATCATCACCATTGTCATCATCATCATTGTTATTATGCCATTGTCATCATCATCATCATCATCAACATCATTATCATCATCTTTATTGTGATTTTGCTGTTGCCATCATCATCATCATCATCATTATCAACAACATTATCATTGTTAATATTATCATTATAAGGTGACCATATATACAAAAACATAACGTTTACATAACAAAATTAAACATCATCAAAATCTATTACCAGCAGAAAAGTTTATATTTTGAGCCATTTGAATTGATAAGGAAACACTAATGTTTGTGCCTTCTGTTATAATCAAAAAACTAACACCATTGGTCTGAACTGTAGCTGGAATCATTTGGATACCATCAATATATTCACTAACTTGAATCCAACTAACTGCAGTAAATGGTTCTGTAAAGTCATTTCCTATTTCAGCACACCACTCCTGTAAGCCAGGTAAGTAAAAATGTGTTTTCATTGTTGTACTGTTGACAATTTGAACAACTGATGATATATCACTAGGTATAGGTCTCATGAATGCACTTGATGCATCATCTAAATTTAAATAAAATACAAACATGCTTCAAAATAATGATAATTCAATTAACAATGATATAATGATTCTTTCATTAATTTTACAACGCATAAAACAAATAAATTTTAAATTTCATTTTTATCTCATTTTAAGCTCAATTTTTTAAAAAGATTATTTTCAAAATCAATATGGTAAATGCAACAACTTGATTGTTATCTTTTATAATGCTATAAATATACAATAATGAAAAAATTGTTTTTTGACATTCTGATTATCTTTAACAAAATCTTATTAAAATTATTTTACATTCACTTTACCTTATATCCTTGAATGTGTAACTCTGTTTTGTGGTCAAACTTATACTATTTGAATAAATAGATTGTCATGCTTTTTTTTGTTAAAAAAATTTTAAATTATTTAAAAAAAATATATTTGGGTAAATTTTCTAAAATTATTTAGGTAAATTTTCTAAATATTCACTTATATTTTCTATACAAGCATTTGAAACAAAAAAACTATTTTATTTATAAGTTAAAAATACAATAATTTTTTTGTTTATTTTCTTTTTTTACACATAAAATATATGCTTTCAGCATTTATTAAAATGTTTACCTCCTAATATATTGGCTTTTATTTGAACTTCGTTACCAACAACTACATTGGCTGGATTATAAGTTACACTCCATTCAACAATACCTGATGAGAGCAACATTACATCATAGCTACTAAGAAAACAATCCAAACTATTGTTATTACTTAAGCATGTACTTTTAACACAAGGACTGTTAAACTTAGTAATATCCAACTCTGGAAGAGATGCATTTCTGCAGAAACAAAACTCTCCTTCAAGAAAAAATGCATAACGAAAGACTCCTGGTGGTTTAAAAGAATTGCAAACCGAAACACAAAAGAATATATTTTCAACCAGGTAACCAGTTGCTGTTAATTGAAAGTCTGTAGAACTATCATTTGTACAACCAGATACAACTTGAAATAAAGTAAATAAAAATTAAAAACTTCCAGAATAAATTAAACAAAGTAAAAATTTTAAACAATATTAAAAACAAAAACATAAAAATGTATATTATATATATATATATAAATATATATATATATATATATATATATATATATATATATATATATATATATATATATATATATATATATATATATATACGTATATATATATATATACATATATATATACATATACGCATATATATATATATATGCCTGCTGCTACAAGGGAGTGTTGCTACATCGACTATCTTATAGCCTGACTCGCAACGGAGTGCTGCTACATTGACTGACAAATAGCCTGACTCACAAGGGAGTGCTGCTACATCAACTGAGGGTTTGGTTTGGGCAGGCAGTCTATCATTTAAAAAAAAAAAAAGTTTTTTAACATTTTCTGCTCATGCTTATTAACGCGCTCTTTAAAACAACATTTTATAGGAAAAACTTTGTGACTACCATGCAAGACTATATATATATATATATATATATATATATATATATATATATATATATATATATTTATGTAACTTAAATCTATATATAACCTTATATTATATATAACCTTATATTATACACGGAAAAAAACACATACTGAAACTTTTTAGTCCCTGTGTAATAAGGTATAATGTATATTAAATATTTCTCAACTGTGAGGTAATCCACTGTTATTCAGGGTGGTAGCCCTCCCACCATCACAGCAATACAAAGAAAGCACATAATTTAATATTCCTTCATCTTGTGCAAATTATTATAGTTAATAAAATACTCAGTCATCAAAAACTTAACACCGTCAATCGCACACCTCGATATCTGGATTATGGAGCTCATTATTTATATATATATATATATATTTATCATGAACATTATTTCAGAACAGAAAGCTACTATCAACCTGCAAGCCAACCAAATAAAAAAAGTTTGAACAAAAATTAGTAGTTATTGAAACCAAAATACCAAAATCAACTCTCAACCAGCCACCCAATCAAGCTCATATCAGCCATCCTGGAGCAATATTTTCAGAAACAAGCCAAACTCATCACCGCAAATCAGTCAAGTCCTTGCTGAACTAAAACAATCAGCTAAGTGTGAAAAAAATAAAATAATATTTGGTGTCCCAGAACCAGTGTCTGCAGCAAATGTCACCCAAACACCACCATCTGCGTTAACCTGCATCACAGAGGTTCTTAATGTTATAGGCCTTACCAATGATGATGTTAGTTTCTCCAAGAGTCTTACAAAAAAAGCATCAAATTGTCAGCCTATTGTCGTAGAATTCAAGGATATTACTAACAAAAAATTAGCTCTGATGAACTCTCGCAAACTCGCTACACATGAGAATTTCAAGACATACAGAGTCAGTCCTGATTTGTCTCCTACTGAAAGAGAACTTGAGTACCAACTACGCAAAGACCGCAATATTCGTAATGATAAACTCTATATTGATAAGCCTGATGCACCCTTTTACTGGGGTATTTGCGATGGAGCAATCATCAAGATCCGCAGTGCCCTTACTCCTCGCTCCATCCCAACTAACTAGCCATAACCTATACACCTACCAACGCCTACCAACCATCTGTACCACTAATATGCGCTCACTCTGTAACAAAATTGAGATTTTTAATCAATTTCTTATAGATACCAACATTGACATTGCCTGTTTAACTAAAACCTGGCTCAACCCTAGTGGTAAGCAAATTATTCTTTCTCAAATCAATAATAATTACACTTGCATAAGCAGTGAACGTCAAGATCGCATGGGTGGTGGTACCGTTATATTCATAAACAAGAAATACTCAGATAAAATTGAAAAAATAAAATTAACTACAGACTACTTGTTCAACTTGGAGCCTAAACAAGAAGTCGAACTAACAAACGCTCCTGTATACCCAAAGCTACTACCCCGACAATACTCTTCCTGCCTAGTTATATGTGCCTATATCCCGGTTTGGTCTAAAAGTTAGCAGTGCAATGCATCTTATCAACTTGCATAACTCATTGAACCAGCCATAATTCGTTGCACACTGGGCAACAAACCACTAATATTTCTTGCAAGGGATCTAAATAGCTGCTCTACTGAGTTTATTTGTCGTTCTCACCAACTCATTCATCTTAATGCACACCCTACCAGAAAAACATCTATTTTTGACATCATCTTGAGTAACGCTCCTATATGCTATGTGTCGTATACCCTTCCTAGTTTTATAATTCAGATCACCTTGTCGTAGTTAGTCAACCTTCTCTAAATCTCTATAAATCTACTCGCCCAGTTCCCCACAAGATTGCTTACAGGTCAGGTAGAATGGCTGACACTGTTGCACTGATATGATCTACCAATATTGAAACCTTAGTTGATTCACTGTATGAAATACATGTTGCTTGCAACAACTTTTATTATTCAATACTCTCTGCTCAAGACATCTGCCAACTTCTAAAATCAACAACGCTCGTTAACCCTAAGCCTTAAATGACACCACTTATTCAAGGCCTTCTAAAAGACCATCAAAAACTCTTTTTTTCCAGGAACTACAAAGAGTGGAAATCACTTGCAAACCAAATTAGTAAACTAATTACCAAAAGAAAGAGAATCTATAACAGGCGTTTCACTTCTAGAAAAACAGATTTTTGGCGTGAAATCAGTCTGGCTGATAAAGGTCAAATCACCACCCTTATCTCTGCGACACTAGCAAACTAATTAAACGATCACTTTCAAAGTGTTTGGATTGGTAATAAACAACCTAACCTCTCATGCTTCATCAATCGAGGGGCAAAGTCGCCTATTACCCAAAATTTTACTTATAACAACATTCTCACCCAACTCAGCAAACTCAACCCAGGGTCCTCAGTACCAGATGACCTATCTCCGTTTTTACTCAAATCTGCTTGCTTTGAAATTGCTCCATCGCTCTGAGTCCTATTCAACCGCCTATAGAAAACAGTTACCTACCTGACCAATGGAAATCAGCAAACATAACACCGATTCCAAAAATTTATTACCCACACTCGTCTAATGACTATCGTTCAATTGCCATAACATCCACATTGTGTAAAGTTTTTAAACATATTATCACCAAATTCATTGCCCATCACACCAAGCACTT